AACACGAAACAACAACAAAATCGTCTCCAGATCCGCCATAGCAAACTCAAAAACTTAAAAAAAAAAGAAAAGAAACTACAAATCTGCGACGTACCAGATCGCGATACAAAGAACGAGACCTACGCCAACCACCCAAATCCGCCGTGGAAAACTCCTATCTTCGCCTCGCATACACCGTATTCTTATATCAAATATGGTTGACCACTAAAAAAAAAAACAACAGATCCGACCCACCTTATCCACCACCACAACCTGCCTCAAATCACAACCTATTCAGGAAATAACAACAGATCAGACCTATCTGCAAATCCCATATCCGCAGGAAATGATGCAGAACTAGGAGGAGATGAAAATCGATTCCATTCATTGGGAAATTCCCTCGGGAGATCTAATGATCCAGCATTCACCATTTGAGCTTTGGCGCCGCCATTGGAAGAATACCTCAAATCACAACCTGCCTCAAATCGTCGCGACAGATTCCTTTGAAAGCTCTGCTGGTGGTTGCGGTTGGCGGCTGCACCACTTGACAATGAAGGGATTTTGGGTTTAGGTTGGGTTGGGGGGGATGAGGTAGGAAGGAGGTAGGGTTAGTTGACGACGTTTCAATAGCTGCTTCAGATCGTGGTGGTAGTGGGGTTGACGGCGGCGAAAAAGGAGGGGGTAGAGAGAACTAGTTGGGCGGCGGTCCAAGCACAGAGACGGGGAGGAGGTGGAATGAATTTTAGGGTTGATTTGGGTTATCTTAGTTTGGATGAAAATTATATAATTAAATATAAAAAACCTGATTTTTGAAAAGTTAAACTTGTGAGGTGATTTGTGAAAATTGAAAACTAAAACCAGGGCTCGGTGTAATTTCCTGAAACCCAAATCCAACTCTAACATGAAAATAAAACCCAAATCCAACAAGAAAAATCCAACCCAAATTCCATCAAATCCAACTACAAAATCTAACCCAAATTCCACCAAACCCAAACCGGCTATCAAAATCTACACAAATTCCACCAAACCCAAAATCCAATATCAAAATCTAACCTAATTCATCAAACCAATCAAAATCCAACCCAAATTCCATCAAACCCTAATCCAACAATCGAAATCCAATCCAATTTCCATCAAACCCAGAGCAATTTCATCCTTCAACTATTAGAGAAGTTCAATTCTGACATCCAACGATGATTTAAGAGCAATTTCATCCTTCATCTTTTGAAAACTTCAATTTGGTTACCCATCTATAACTTAAAAGCAGTTTCATCCTTTAATTATTGGAAAAGTCCAATTCGGTCATCAAACTATGAATTAAGAGCAATTTCATCGTTAAACTATTGGAAAAGTCCAACTCGGTCATCCAACTATAAAGAGAGCAATTTTATCCTTCAACTATGGAAACATTCCAATTCGGTCATCCAACTATGATCTAAGAGCAATTTCATCCTCCAACTATTTTAAAAGTTCAATTGAACCATCCAACTATAAATTAAGAGCAATTTCATCATTCAGTCCACCCTAGATTCCACAAAACTCAAGTCCAACTATCGAAATCCAATCCAATTTCCATTAAAACAAAATCCAAAGCCAACAATTAAAATCCAACTCAAACTCCTTCAAACCCAGATCCAACAATCAAAATCCTACCCATCAAACTCAAATTCGCTCCTCCAACTATTCTCAAACAGCAATTTGTCCTACAACTATTTAAAGGCAACAGTTTGGTCTTTCAACTATTCTTTGTATATAATTTAGTCCAGCAACTAATGCATATTCACAATTCAAGTCCTCTATCTATTCATAGGCGACAATTTGGTTTTAGAACTATTTAGAGACAAATGCATCCTCCATTAATTCTAACATTTCCAATTTGATCCTTCAACATTGCTCATGT